TTATGCAATGTTAAAAACAAATGAGTTATCAAGCCATGAAAAAGATAAACATTAATTGTATATCACCAAGTGAAATAAAGCCAATCTGAAAAGGTTATATATTGAATATATAATATATAAAATTATATATATCTATAATGGATTGCAACTATATGACCTTCTGGAGAAGACAAAACTATGGAGACAAAAAAAAAAAAAAAAAAAGACCAGTGGCTGGGGAGTGACACATAGGCAGATAACAGAGGATTTTGAGGGAAGTGAATATATTCAGTACGATTTTATAATGATGGACATATGTCATTATACATTTTTTTCAAACTTATAGAATGTACAACACCAACAGGAAACCCTAAGGTAAACTACAGACTTCAGGTGAATGATGTGTCAGTAAAGGGTCATCTTTGATATTTAAAAAAAAACATTCTGATAAGTTGCATTGATAGTAACGGACGACATGCATGTGTAGGGGCAGGGGCTATATGGGAAATCTCTGTATTTCCCTTTCAACTTTGTTTAAACCTGAAACTGCTCTAAAAAAAATAGAGCCATAAAAATAGAATTCTTAGACATGACACTAAAAGCAAGACCTATAAAAAACTGATAAATTGGACTTTGTTAAAATTAAAAACTTTGGTCTCTGAAAGACATTATTAACAAACAAAATAAAAAGACAAACTACAGACTGAGAGAACATATTTGTAAACCTTATAGCTCACAACAGACTAAGATATAAAATATATAAAGAACTACCAGAACTTAACAGTAAAAAAATAATTGAATGAGAAAATGGGTAAAAGAGATGAATAACAGTTTCATTGAAGGTAAATAATATACAGATGGCAAATAAGTATGAAAAGATGTTCAACATCATTAGCCATTAGATAAATGCAAATTAAAATTACAATAGATATCTCTATATGCCTATCAGGACAGCTGGAAAAAAAAAAACAGTTCAGCAGTTTCTTAAAACCAAAACATGCAACTACCATATGACTCAACAATTGCACTCCTGGTCCTTTATTCTGGAAAAATAAAAACTCATGATCACACAAACACTTATACACAATTGGTCATAGAAGTTTTATTTATAATAGCCAAAAACTGTAAGCCAAAATGTTCCTTATTAAACAACTCCCCACTCTCCCAATGCTTAAGCAACCACAAGCCTACTTTCTGCTTCTATGAATTTGACTACCCTAGGGACCTTATATAATGCCCTCGAGGTTCATCCATGTGGTAGCATATTTCAGAATTTTCTTCCTTTTAAAGACTGAATAATACATTCTCTATTGTATGTATATATCACATTTTGTTTATCCATCTATTCATCAGTGGGCACTTGCTTTGCTTCTACCTTGCGTCTATGCTGTTATGAGTATACTGACCTGGAATTTTTGAGGATGTGCTCCAGGAATCTACATGTTTAATAAGCTCCTCTGATGGTTCTGATGCACATTAAAAGTTTGTAAACCACTACTCTAATGCAGGATTTTCCAAGGCATAGAGAAAGATTTGTGGTAGCCCTCCAATATTCTATCATATAGACTTGACTTACACATGAGAAAGTCTTTTAACAATTTTATGAATCATTTTGATTAGGTCAAGAGAAAGTCTTGGTTTGGTGTTATTTATCTTACATATCTAATTCTAATTTTCTTTTTTAACAAAGAGAGAGCAGCCCTCAGATTCAGATCCTTCAGATCCTTCAGTAGGCAATAATACTAATACTAATTAGCATGGTTTTATTGTATTAGTATGTGTCATTACAGTTGATAAATTGCAAATGGTTTCCCACTTCTGATAATGGTATAGAGTTGCTTTTCAATAAATTTACTTCATATTTTTGTTTAATCAAGTAACTTTTTTAGCATATAATATGTCTGGAGACATTTAATATGACACAACATGAAATAGTGATATGCCAATGGATGAAGTTGGGAAATACTGCTTTGAGGGACGTTAGCATTACGATCTTGTTCTCACCTTTCTACACATGGAAGGAAGGAACCAAGCACTGACACACAGAAGCACATGTCCAAGGCATCCAGGAGGTGGCCCCCCAGGGCAGAAATGTGATGGCCCCTGCCAACTGGAGAAGGGCCAAGAACAGGTGGGAAGCATCCTCAGAAACCTCTGAAGGTAGAAAATCATAACCTAACCATTAGAAGGGGGAGGCAGTGATGCTCTTTGAAAACATTTTCTGGAATAATTTTCTTTCTCTTTTACCTTAGTGTTGAGTACAATTATTTAAAAATATTAGCCTGTCCAGACTGTAATAAAGGGTCACCAAAGAAGAGAGGTAAACATGTTCTGACTACTGCATCTGAAATTATAGACACTCGAAGACAATGTGGAATCAGTAAGCAGTTTCTTCCCATAAGGGAATCTTCTCCTTAAACTCATACCTACCAGGAATTTGGCAGGTTCCATGTTTAGATTACAGGAGGATGTTCCTAACAATACTACTCTGAGCTAATGGGTTGTCAGTCACCGTCTCCCTCTTTCTCGTTTAATTTTCACAGCACTCCAGTGGTTGACACTTACCGACTGTATTCCATGAACAGACTCCGAGAGACTGGTTCACGTCACATGGCTCAGGTTCAAACTCAGGCCTATCATACCACATCATCACTTTGTCTAGGTTCTTTGTGACCTTGGCTTCAAGTCAGTCTTTTTCCTTTTAGGAATCATTTTGATTGGGACAAGAGAAAAATTCTTGCTTTGGTGTTCTCTCAAACATCTAACTCTAATTTCCCTTTTTAACAAAGACAGAGTTACCCTCAGAATCAGAGGTTTCTTTTCCTTGTGGCTTAAGAAACAGAGACCCCCCAAAGAACAATTTTGAGGCAACAGCTCCTTTAAGATGCCACAGTTCTGGAGCTCCACCTTACTCTATGAACATCTGCAAAACTTTATTAAGATTTCTGCCTGTTTGAATTTTAATGTTCTCAAGATATGGTTTCTAGTTACCACTAGAGTTGGCAGCACAATAGAAAAAGACTTTCCCATGTTTGCTAGAGCAGTTTATCTGAGCCACAGCCCCATTAAAACTTCCCATTAAGGAAGAAGAAAGAGTTGGGTGAACAGATGATTTACTTACTGACAGCAGGAAACGCTATCAGATATGTATGCACAGAGTGAGCATTTTTTAACTCGGAAAAACCTTGCACCCTGAACTACACACAGTTATTTCAAAAGGTTTCCAGTGCTTATAGTCCAGTTACATATCATCCTTACATGAAACTTTTCAGCAACAATTTTTCAAGCATCGACGCATTTTTGAAAAAGAAAAACCATGCATAATGTCCTTAAAAACAAAAGTTACAGATTACACATTCACTAAGGCAGCTTATTAAACTTATTTTAAAACCCCTGAAGTTTTGAAAATAGCACAGGAGATGATTTAGGGGGTAATTTAGTGGGTTTCTTTCTCATAGAGAACATCTGAGAACATTTTCTCTAATAATAAAGGGTAAAGTACATGCAGTTGTGTAAACCGCAAATGTTCCTCCAGTGCGTGAGTGAAGGGGATCGCCAGTTTGAAAAACCTTTATATGTGTAATCTAATGAACAAAGTAAACAGGAAAAAATAGAAACAGAGGCATTGATACATGGAACAGACTGGCAACTGTCAGAGTGGAGACAGGTTGGGGGACTGGATGAAAAAAGGTGAAGGGATTAAGCCAAAAAAAAAAAACAACCCACCACAAACAACAAACCCAAAAACAAAGACAAAAACAAAAAACAAAAAAAACCCACCCCACATATACAAAACACAGACACAGCAGTGTGGTGATAGCCAGGGGAAGGGGGTGGGGTGGAAGGCTGGGTGGAGGTGGGCAAAGGGAGGGGGTGGAATGGGGACGGAAAGAGACTTTGCTTGGGGTGACAGGCGCATGGTGCAGAGTGCAGATGATGTTTTAGTGAGTTGTTCGCTTGAACCTGTATGGTTTTGCAAACCAGTGTCACCCCAATAAATTCAGTTTAAAATAAAAAAAAGGAAAGGAAAGGAAAAGACCTTTTTGGTATCTTGCACCTAAACCATGGATCCCCCGATGCTGGCCGAAGGTCAAGTAATGTGGTCGCAGACCGTGGCAAAAGGCAATTCTTGAACTGGAAATATTCCGTGTGGGAGACATTATCTCAAATGAATATAAAGAGAGCCTATGTACACTACGTGAGTTTGCAAACTCAGAGGGGCGGTCTGTCATCGCTTTTATTTATTTTTCCAGCCGAAGAATCCCAAAAGCGCCGCGCGGACACTCCGCAGAGCTGGTTCAAAGAGCTGGGTGGGGTAGGGGATGCGGCTGCTTACCAGCAAAACCAGATGCAGGCCCCAGGCAGGGAGTAGGAGGGGATGGATTAAAGGGGATTCCGAAGGTTTGGAGAACTTGAAGCAAAAAGAAGAACTGCGAGAGCAAACAGCCCCGACGGGAATCCATTTGTTGTAAGAGCAGCAGTTACAGAGCGCGGAGGAAAAAAAGAGGTAGAGCAGGGAAGCTGAGCGCCGAGGGGCGCCCCGGGAGGGAGCAGCGGGGAGGTCAAGGGTGCGATGGCCCCGCGCGTCTCCAACATTAGGCCCGGAAAATCACCTGCGGATCTCTTTACAATGCAAGTCCTGATCCCTCTACCCCCCAAGTATTACAGCTGTTGCTGGTCCGCGGACCAAACGTTGGGTACCAAAGGATTTGTTTACTGCGGTGAAGAAATTGTGGGTTAGAGGAAACGGGGACTTTCTGAAGAGAACGACTAACTTCTGAGGGTAGCAGCGACCTTAAAAGGGACAACAAGAGAAACACACTGGATGAGCAGGCATGGGAATGAAAAGTGGCCAAGCTCTCGAAGCCTTTATTCCGAGCTGGATCTCTGGAAGGAAGAGGAAGAAGGAGGCGCTCTCCCGCTGGCTTGGGAAGGGCAGGATACACGCGCGCTTGGAAGCAGGTGAGCAGCTAAACAGACGGACGCGGGGACCGAGGAGGCCGGGGCTGGCTTGCCCTTACCTGCGCTCACCCTGGTCCGTGTAGACATTGAGGAAGAGTCCCTCCCTAGTGTTCGGGTACACCGGGCCGGAAAAGCTGAGCTGCAGCTCATACAGGCTCCCGGGCTGCAGGGCCTCGCGGAGCTCCAGCACCATGTACTGCATGTCCAACGCGAACCACAGGTTGTCCACCGGCACGTGGCCCACGGTGGCGTCTCCAGTGCCCGGGGACAAAGGACCCCGCAACTCAGCTCTGTCACAGTCCAGGAAGAGGCTATGCAGCAGCAGCAGCGCGGTAGCCACCGCGCAGCGCAGAGTGATGTTCACGCGGCCGGTGAAGTGTAGCGCAGGTGGTGAGAGCTCGTCAGGCCGCAGCCGGGGCCACAGTTCCAGCTCGTAGTGCAGCGGCACGAGCCAGGAAGGCAGGCGCAGCTGGTCCCAGGGCCCCGAGGGTCGCCACTTGTCCGGCGTGACCGCCACCGCCGGCTCACGAGTGGGGCCGGGCTTCCGGGTGGGCGGCAACTCCCCCGGCTCCTCCGGCCGAGATGGCCCAGCGTCCGGGACCCCGCAGTCGCGAAGCTCCGACGGCGCGCTGCGCGTGCAGTGGCCGTACAGGGCAGAGAGCACAGCCAACGCCAGAAAAAGCGCGGCTGCCAGCCCCGCCAGCAGGAGGGCTACTGAGCGGCTCACGTAGAAGCCGGAGCTGGAACGGGGTCCCATGGCCGGGACCTCTGGCGGGGGCGAGGTGAGAGCCTGGAGACGGCGGCAGCAGCTCGGAACCCCGGGCCGAGTGCGCAGGGGTAGGACCCCCCTCTCTTGTACCGTCCCTCCTCCTCCTCCCGGAGGAGCTGGGAGACAGGAGAGGGCGATTGGGACCACAGCTTCCCCCTCCCACCTAATCAGATCCAGGTTCCTGCCTATCCACCCCTCCCGCAAGAGCCCAGGGAAGAGGCGGACCCGGCAAAGCCACGCGCGCGCCCCTTCGGGTCCGAAGGGAAAAACCTTGCAGAAGAGGCTTCCAGAGTCGGTGCGAGGAGGGGACAGTCGGAACAAACTCGAATTTGAACACCTCCGACGGGGATCTTTGGATTCATGGGATTTGTTGGGTGTGCCGCAGTGCAGTCCAGGTGTGGTCGGGAGAGAGAGGCAGGCTCAAAGCGCCTTCAGCTCCTTGACTGTGGTGACGAGCAGCCGGTGGCCCACCTGCTGGCCACCACCGGATTTTCCTGCGCCAGGGGCGGGGGTGGAGGTTTTAAAGCCCTGCACTTCTGAGCGTGCTTTCTGAAATGACCCCGCGAGGGACAACCGTGCGGTCAGAACTAACTTCCCGAGCCTAATCTTTGGCGCGAAATTTCGCCTCCTGAATAAACTCGGGACTCGAGCAGCGTAGGCTGCGAGTGCTGTGAAGGAAACAAGGTCTGGCGTCCTGGAGCCTTTCCGTAAGGAGGGCTGAAGGAGGGGCGGAAAAAACCCCGAGGAGCGAGGAGTCGTCTTCTCCCAGGTGGAGGAGCGGGGAGGGCCGCTGTACCCCCGGGCAGGACGGGGCGAGAAGCGCCACTTGGCTCTGCAAAGGCCAGGGACTGGGTGTCCAGTCTTGGGGCCCGGGCTGGCTCTCCGCTCCCCTGCCCGGAGAAAGGGGAATCCTGTTCTCAAAGCCAGCTTTTTTTTCAAGCAAAGAGAATAAAAGAATCCAGCAGCCAACTTTTCCACTCGGAAACAACTGAGCTGGAACATGTCTCGCAGGCGGTGCCCTGGTCGGCTAGGCCTTAGGCATGCGGGCATCTGTTTGCAATTTAGCGATGCTCTTGGGAGAGTCCCCGGCCTTTGAGCGAAGTTCCGAGTCTGCACGCGCTCTCAGCTGAATTGGGAATGGGTTGCAAGTGCTAACTAAGGAGGCGCTGCGGACGAGGGAGGTGACGGTGGATTAAGATCCTGTTCCTGGCTGAAGATTTATTTGAGTGTATTCCGTCGTTAGAGTCCTTCAGTTATTTCAGAACGAAGGGAATTTTTCCGTTACAGCCACAGAATTGTCTTCACTTTACTTGTTTGAACTGTCTCTCCCTTCTAATGAGAAAACCCTCCCACCTGAGAAGAGACGGTAAACCCAGGTGATTCTTTGGGATATGTGATCTTCTCTGCCCCCGAAACTAAAATTAATCACATTAACAACAACAGCAACAATCTCTCTCTCTCTCTCACTTTCCAGGATAAGGTGGAGAAGGGAGACTTAACACCAAGTTCACACAAATAGTTGTGGACCAGTCTCCTGATTCCAGGTTTGATTGCACTCTCAGAAACAAAGCAATCATGCTTAAAAATAATTATGACCACGTGCATCACTGCAGAAGATCCTGGCAGAGCTTGGTAAAGATGCTCCTTCTATTTCCCTCTGCAAAACCGGTCCCAAATCAGGCTGCCAGAATTGTGAACTACTGAGCTAGCAGGGGGCCCTGGTTTTAGGCCATTGTCTGATGGGACTTTCACAGATGCAGTGCTAATTAATTATTGTCCTTATGGCCTCCTGGCCAATTTCTTGAAGGATTTTGAAGGATTCCAGACTCTCAGGGAAAGGTTAAAAAAAAAAAAAAAACAAGAAAAGGAATAACAAAATTATTTCAAATTCATGTTAAAGGTATGCCTCCCCTCAGTTTTATGTAAGAAACTATTAAAAAGTGAGGACATGGACATGAGTATTTAATTACATTTCTCTAATATCATTAAAGAAATAAAGATCGTCTACCACACAAAATGTCTCCAAGTAATAAAATTGCACCAAAGATTCAACTATTTAAAAACTTATCAAGAGGGAAAATATTTCTGATAAATCATTAATGTCAGACAAAAAGTTACAAAATAATATACCGGCTTAGTTGTGCTTATGTTAATAATCAAAAAGGAACTGGAAAATACTATTATATGAAATATTTGAAAGTACTGTTATATGAAATGTTTAACATCTCAGTGAAAGAGTCATTCTGGGGCATAGATCAATTGACAGAGAAAAAGTGACTAAAAAGTTTTAAAAAACTTTTTAACGAGCTGCTCAGAAAACCAACTTATTATTCACATCAGCTAAAGGAGTGATTCTCAACTGGGATCACTCCTTTTTTTTGGTGTCCTCCTCCTCTGGACATCTGGCAATATTTCAAGGCATTTCTGGTTGTTACAACTTTGTGGGGATTGCTCCTGCTACTGGGCAGAGGCTAAGGATAGTGCTGAACGTCCTACTTGGCATAGGACACCCACAACAAAGAAATCTCCTGCCCAAAATGTGACCAGTGCTGCTATTTAGAAATGTTAAGCTAAAGCCATTATTTAAGGCTTTTATAGGTTACCCAAGTGAAACTTCACTTTTGTATCTTGTGTCACTACTTACTTTGGCTGTTTGTTTATGCTTTGGCATGTCTATGGTTTTTCCATCTTTATTTCTTGGTACTTATAATGAACTTCTATAATACTTTATTACTCTTCCTGGGCTACATGACAATTTTCCTTCATTTATTTGAAAATATAATTTTTCGAATGAGTAATATTCATAAGGCTCAAAATCAAATCATGAAATTTTTAGGTCAAAACATGAAAATGTATAGGTTAAGTTATCTTGCTTCCACCACTTACATAGTTAATAATTTTAACAGTTTTTTGTGTATCATTTCAGTATTATGTAAATCAAGTAAATATAATTATATACCTTTGCATTTCTCTCCTTACATACAAAATAATACATTAAAATGTAATTCTGTACCTTGCATTTTATTTAACATATCCTGAATATCTGTCCATGTCATTTCACAGATATATTTCATGTTCTTTTCTACAGCTGCACAGTACTGCGTTGTACGGACATATCATTGCAAAAATTTTCCCAGTTTGGTTATTTGAAAGGATTCACCAAATTCCATAGAGTATCCATAGCCTTAATTTAAAGGAAAAGGATATGGTGCAGCAAGAGAAAGAATACAGGCAAGTATTGGAGGACAGAGAGACATCCCATGTGCAAGCTCCCCAAGGGCCCTTATTTACATAAATGGACCATGTTCTGTCATCAGCTTCAATCACCAAGGTCTGTGAGTGGAATCTTGTTTATAGAAAGCTCAGAGGAGAAGCCCTTCCAGAGGCCATCCAAATAATCAAGCCAAGTTTGTCAGACCCATAAATCTAGTTGCAAATCATCACTAAAGAAACTAACTCTACGGGATATCCAGGGAGAATTTCAGACCTAAATGAGCACATCATTAATTGCTTAAGCATCAAAAACCAGATATTCAGGCCTAGCTGGGTTGCTCAGTTGGTTGGAGTGTCATCCCATACACCAAAAGTTTGCAAGTTTGATTCCTAGTCAGGGGCACATACCTAGTTTGCAGTTCAATCTCCAGTCAAGGCATGTATAGGAGGCAACCAATTGATGTTTCTCACTCCCATCTCCATCTCTCTCTCTCCCCCTTCCTCTCTCTCTAAATTCATTAAACATATCCGTGGGTGAGGATTAAAAGAAACAAAACTGATATCCAGGAGAAAGAGAGAGTAAACACCACTGAAAATCCTTTCCTCCATAAAAGCAATGTGAATGCTGGAAAAATGGTCAGAATTAACTATATGAGAACTCTGAACAGTGACCAAAAGTTTAGTGATCCAGGAAGTGTTTATTCAAGAATTACAGCCAAATCTTAGTAAAACAAACAAAAACCACATGGATCTTTATAGCATTTTTTTAAAAATCCTCACTGAGGAGATATATATTTTAGAGAGAGAAGGAGAGAGAGAGAGAGAAACATTGGTTGGTTGGATCAGTTGCCGCCCATATGCATCCCTGACAGGGAGTCCCTGATTGGGAATGTAATCCACAGTCTTTTGGTATAGAGGACGGCACTCCAAACAACTGAGTCACCCAGCCACGGCTGAGCTTTATGACATTTTAACTTGCTTTAATTCTTGTTGCTCTCTTCTTAGCTCTGCAATAGCCTTAAAAATCAAGAGCTTGCTAGCATGGTGAAAAATAGCAACCTGGCAACCACTGGAAGGAGCATAAAAGTGTTAAAGTCTCTTTAAAGCCTCATTCTCAGATTATTATAATCATTTGAACTATTTGGTGATTCCCAGAAGACTATACTCTCAAGGCTTTCTTTATTTGACCTGATTCAGAGTTCACCAAGTGTGAACAGCCTTTCCCCAGGAGCACTGGTTGAAAACAACCATAGGCAATTGTTTAATATTGCAACTTGCCTGAGGTAAGCAAAAAATAGAGGCAAATTCTAAGCTCATCATAAATCTAAACATGAAAAACTCATGAATTAGATGTCTATAGCAGGCTTTGAAAAGCTCCAACATATTCCTGAAAATCTAGAAGGACACATGCATGCCTAGGCAATGCATATGACTAATGCCATAAATATCTCAGAAAAGACCTAAGAAGGCCCTAAGCTCTCACATCTAGCATTGCTCAGCTGGAAAGATCTTAATAGGGGAAGTCAAGAGCTAAAGATTTTACTCTTCAGGTCCATACATGCTGTTGTGAAAGGTAGGAGTTCTTTCTTTCTGCTGTGTAGTATTCCGTTGTGTAAATATACCACTGGTTTTTTTATCCACTCATTTACTGATGGGCACTTAGTTGTTCCCAGCACTTAGTTATTGTAAATAACACAGCTATGAACATAGGAGTGCATAGATTCTTTTGAATTGGTGTTTCAGGATTCTTAGGGTATAATCAAAACAGTGGAATCAGTTTTTTTAGGAAATCCCACAGTGAAGGCAGTTCCTTCAGTTCTTTTAGGAAATCCCACACTGTTTTCCATGTTAGTTTACCAGTCTGCATTTCCCCTAACAGTGCACTAGAGTTCCCTTTTCTCCACGTCCTTGCCAGC